CTTCATGAAATTCTCTGTGACTTCAGAATATCGAGGCGCGTCGATGATCGGGTCATAAATCTTGGGCCGCACGACGCAATGTGTTTACGCAATGTAACGCACTAGGGCGCACGCAATACTCAAGTACGCGTGCATGCGCGTGTCAACGTACGCACAGCATGACAGTGTGGCGTGCATTGAAACGCCTCGCTCGACAAATCGGCCGATAATAGGATTAAAGCGATAATTAATCCCGGCAAGATTTCGTGTCGGGTCGCCCGCGGTTTATTAGACATAATTGCGAAATCACGATGATTTAATTTTCTATTCAATTCTTAAAACTTGACTCACGATGCGGTCTTACAAATTGCCAATTCAATCCTTGTGTTATTAGTCAAAACTTAAAGCAAAATTACTGATATATTAAATCAGAGTTAAATGAATAAATAAATAAATAACTCAGCGTATTATTAATATAATATGCATATTATAAATATTAATAATATGATATGAAATGAAAGATATAAAATATATCTTCCATATTATGGAAGAGAGTATTATAAGTAAATATATGTATAAGCCAAATTATGACTTATATTTGGATTTATATAATTAATCGCGAATTGTATTCAATAAATACATTCCCTGAGTATGCTGCTATTTCATTATTCCATTTATTTCTTTATTGACGCAAAATATGTATGTGTATGACGCAGAAACTTCCACTTCCGAATGATATTTATCATTGCTTATCGCAATTACAAGAACAAACTCTTGAAATTATTGCAGCAAGATAGTGGCGTAACCGACGACAAATATAATACAATAATAAAATACACGACTTCCCGATCGTACCGTATAGGTATCTGAATAGATTTCCACATTGCGCAAACGCGATAAACCGAGCAGACAGTGGATTCTATTTTAAAGCGGCTATATCGCTGTGTGTATCGATTGAAATATCACGGCGGAAAACGCTCATAAAGGCGGATCATTAAGATTTTTCCGGACGCGAGCGGCCAACAACGAGCGTCGCTCAATTCCGCAACGTTAGACTTTCTACCCACGTTATAATTGATTTGTCACGGCGCGGCCGAGAGCAGCTATCGGCTCGAGCTAATCGACGATGAAAAGCGCACTGCGCAACAATATTACGCGCGGGAAAAGTCCGTACGCGCGCGTAATCGTGACGCGGCTCCCGATTATCGGTCGCGTTTCGCAAAAAGATCGATCGCCCGGTGCGTGTGGGTTAATCTGAGGAACCCGTTTTGCCAGGCGGTCAATATTTTCCGCCTTCGCGTGGCGCCTCTCCCACCTCGGTGCCACTCTCGCGCTCGCTCGAGACGGACGGGGGTATCGTTACCGCATTTATTGAAAAGTAATTGAAATCACGGAGTTAATGGGCCGCGGTACGCGGCGTGATCGATCACGCATGAGACGTATCGCGCGTTAAAATAAAGGTATCACGAGCGTAGTGTCATTATTTATGCGAGGACCGAGAGTGTGATTTATCGCTTCAATCTGCCGTCTGTCGATCTGGAAATCCGCGTTGTCCGCGGCGATAGTACACGAGGCGCCGCGCCGCGCCGGAGGATTCATCTTTCGTAGCGACAATATCAATTGTAAAATCTCTTGAAACCTCGAGAGAAAGAAAATATCTGGATGATCTGCACTTGGCGATCTGTTATCAACAGATTCCGCACGCTTTCTAATACTTATAAATATTGTTAGACAATACATAATAATAATGCATTTAGAAAGGATCTACCAAAATCACGCGCGTGCTGCTAATCGGGCGCGTGGAGGTGATTTACGACGTATTTTCCGAACCTGAGATATATCCTGCTTTGCATGTATCGTATATATACGAACGCCCGCTCGAACGCACGCGGAAAGACGCCCGGAGGTTCCCATTGTACTCCGGCGCGTTCGCCTAATCTAGATCGGGGATATTTTTATCACTCGTCTGTGTACTATGGACCGCCCCGGCCGTTCGTTACGTACGTACGCGCGTAGCAGCGTGTAATAATGATCGCCTTTATGTACCGTGAAAAGCAACGTAGCACGCGTTATGGTGCGTGCAATGAAATAAGAAAGATACAGATTTAAAAAATCAGACTCACCGAGCATCCCGTAGAATGAAGCAGCATCCCTCACTCATCTCAATGGAGCTGCAAATATAAAAAGCTATTTAAGAGACGCCACAAATAATTATTATTACAATCTTAATAATATTTGCAGTAATTATTAAACTTTCCTATATACCGTCCGTTATTATAATATACTTACAATTTTAATAGCGATGGTGATAGTTTGCCGGCGCTGAAGGGGAAGAGACATCAAGACCGAATTCAAGGTGCGATTTATACCGTTCGCCACTCTCGAGATTTTATTCGACGTATGTATGTACATACCGGCGACATTACGCGACACTTCCGACACCGACGTCACCGACTCGAACGCGCGGATCACTTCACGCGGAAGAGCCTGCCAGAGCGAACGAGACAACTTCGTTCTGTGCGACGAGAAGACGGGTTACGGCGGAGCAACCGCGATTTACATCGATCGATGCACGTTAATTAACGCGTAACGACGATCGCCCGATATCTCATTCGATGCTCCGGAGACGTTATTCGATACTGGCGGTACTAATTTGCCTGAACAAGTTGCTTAGACACGTAAAATCGACGAAAAACACGGAGCGATCTTACCCCGTTAAGTGACCGACGGCCGGCGACGCGAGACGCGAGACGAGAGGACAAGTGCAAGATGGCGCGGGGCGCGGGGCTAGGGGCGCGGGGCGCGGGGCGCGGGCCGCTCAGCCCCGTACCTCGCGATCTATGCAAGGGCTCTATCCCTTCGAGAACGATTAACGTTCTGTATCTTATAATCACGCTTATAATTATAGTTTTTCTATTAAGAAATCACCGTTACGATGCATAGCTGCAATTACTCAAAATATGATGCAGGATTAGTTAATGCTTTAAATAAATAGGTCCTTTTTTGAAATTTGAACTGATGTTCACAAACGAAGTTAACGCATCATTTTGCTGTTAATGTGTTTTTGAGACGCGATACTTTTATAATCAATTTATATTTCAGAAGAGGGAATTAAATGAAGATAATCGACGCATCTCACGTCTTTCACTTTTACATTATTTTTGTTATTATTATTTAGATTATTCGCGACACAACAATACTTTTTCACGGAGCTGCTTAGATGATTTCGACGTCGGCGTCGTTAAGGCGGGTTCTACAATCAATCGTATGTCGTCGTCTGAACGCAGCCGATAGTCCAATGAGAAAATTTCTTTTTCGAAAACGAATTTTCCTCATTAAACCATCGGCTGCGTTCCAACATCCGACATATCCGACTACGACATACGACTAATTGTAGAACCAGCCTAATAAGAACGTTTACAGCGCAGTCAGAAATGTCTATATGCACGACTATATATATATACATATATACGTAAAACGTTAGTGGAGGATCTAGACAGCACTTTCGGCAAACAACGGAGCAGCAACTCAGTAAAGGCCATTGCACGTAACAAAGTTTTAGGGCCCGGACACACACTTTTTCGTAATAGTAACAGTAAAGTTTCGACCACGCGCGTTGCTCGATTCGGGAAGAATAATCGACTGCGTGGTCTATTTTCTTACGGCCTTACGATTATGACTAAAACTTTGTTACGTGCAATGGCCTTAACGCGAAGCGACTTATGCAACAATACATTCGACAATCCGGCAGAACAGCGCGATTCGCATAGGGACCCGTGTATATCCAACATCGAGCTTAATTAACTGCATCGTTCGTGCACGTCGAATGTATACGAAGGTACCACTCATTGTCAGCTTGACTAGGTTTTCGGTCTTTCTCGCGCTCCCTTCTCCTTCTTCCAGAAGGAGAGAGAGAAACCACTTTAATCTTTCGCGATTCTATCACATAATAAGTATATGTATATTCTCTCAAGCCTTAACTTATTGTTAGATTGCGCGAAAATTTCAAGAGCTCGTAATTTTCAGAAATATTCGAAAATTCTACTAAAAAATTTTACTCAAATTTCTACTTTACTGTAGCTTATGCTGAGTAGCCAAATTATCACAATATTCTTTATCAAAAGCATCAAAAGCTTATTATTAGATTTTCTCACTTTCGTAATGATTTTCGGGAGAATCGATTTTGATGGACAATCAGTAATAAATGTTATATTAACTCTTTGCATCAATTTTGAAAGGATGTGTATACATACAATTGAACGAAACAAGTATTAATGTCTATATGAAAGATTGAATTCATATCTTTAATATGTCTTTATATTGTTAGAGAAATTTGTAAGACATAGGACCCAATAATGGATTCGTCCATTCGTAAGCTAAAATGGGAAAGCGAGCGATAATACAGCGAAATCCGCTTGCTAACTATAATTATGCGATAAATACGTGTTTTCCTCTTGAATACAAAAGTTTTAGTCAAATCTAGTCTTTGTGTGAATTTATTAATTACAGTTTTCTATAACAAGCGTCGAATATTTAGATGCTCTCATTATTCTCTATGAAATTTCTATGAAATCTCCGCGGAAATCGCTGTATTTTTTTTCTATTTGTTCGTCGCCGTCGCCAGGGAGCTTTTCTCGGAATTCAAACGCTCGAGGATCACCTCATTATTTTGGCCAATCGCGTGTTTTCGTTGTCGCGCGCCAGTAATTTCGGCGTACGTCGCGCCCCGCGCCTCGCGCCCGGCACGCGAAGGAATGTGAAATATGAGGGGTGGGGAGTGGGGAACAGTTCCCATCAGCCAGCCATCCGCGGACCGCGCTCTCTTCCGTTTCTGCCGTGCTAAGGAGAAAGTCGAGCCGGCCGTTCGTAGCAATTATATTATCGGGAGTGCCGAAAGTAATTGCGCGAAGTCTGTAATAGTTTCATCGCGAGCCGCACCCGCTCGAGTGGTCGCTGCGTGAAACATCTCAGATAGCTTTTCCGTTCACGTGAACGGAGAATGAGCCGGTTTTCGTCGCGCGCGTACCCGGTCGCGAATTCCGGAAAGTTGAGTGCGCTCAGTGCATCCGTGCTTGCATCGTGCGCCCAAGTTTCGTCGCGATTTGCATCCGCTCGATTGGTCGTCGCGCGAAACATCTTTTTTCCCGAGTTTTCGTCGCCGTAATACGACGGGACGACGCACACAGACGGATCACGTGATCACCGCGTGCGGTAACGTGATCCTTGGCGAAAGACCCGTGTCGACGGCGAAACCGTCCCACCACGACGCGAATCCGGTTTTCGCGAGTGCCTCTATCTCGAGCGTCGCGATCACCGAGCGTGAGAGTTGTCGATCATTTCTTATAAAATCAACGCCGGGAGTTCGATCCCGATATCGACCCCGCTCGCGGCCATCTTGTCATGCCGCGCGCCGCGCTGTACATTGTGAAACGCGGCTACCGCGCCTCGTACCTCTGTGATTTAATGTAAAATTCGTGCCCGCTATCGCGTCCCCGAGTAACCCAAGTGAGCCTGAGTCTCTCGCACGTCTCCGTGTTCGCGGTCGCTCATCTGCCTCGCGAGCAAGATATTTGTCGGTCGCGTGCAAGATCTCCGATCATGGGGGTGGTCATTCATCGCTCTTCGTTTCGCGAGCCACGCAGAGAAACCGAGCGACTCAAGATTTCTGCCCGACAATTCTGTAAGATATTTTTTTAAGATATTTTTATTAGCATTGCAGATGTTTCATTTTTTCTTTTTCTTTCTTTCCTTAAGAGAGGAAGAGTTATATATATGTTTTGCCAGTTTCAAAGTAACATATTTTCAATATTTTAAGTGTTACAAATATCGAAAATAAGTTGTGAAAACTATTAAATAATGCATCAAAGTGATAAAATAAATATTTTTATTATGATGATTCAAATTATTTGCAAATGTTCGTTGCCTGCTAGAGAGAATAGATACTTTTAATTTGAAATATTGTTTGGATACCAATCGTTAGTTATTTTTATTACACATCTGTTTTGTTTTGTGTCCATGAAACAAAGTCATTTTTAAACGGTCTCTTTCTTAATTTAAATTCTGTTAAACGTTCGCGAGTTTAGTCAGTAGTGAATTCAAGATATAGAAAACCAGTGAGCCCACGGAAGTCATACGAGATGCTTCGTCTCGAGTTAGGGTCGATTCAAACACAGCCGTGCCGTATCCGTACCGTGCACGAAACAGAAACATCAGACAAGGATGGAGACAAAATTAGACAAGGATGGAGACAATAGGTATCCTTGTCTGATGTTCTGTTTCGTGCACGGTACGGATACGGCACGGCTGTGTCTGAATCGACCCTTAATCGGTGTAATCTCGTTGAGTAATCTCGATTCGTCTGTACTAATTTGTTTATTTGCTGGTGATCTATTTTTTTTTAATTATTCGTATGTTTATTGTATGTGCCACTACATACGGTTGTTTTTCTGTTATAGAAATCTCGACTGATGAACACCTGCAGCTTGCAACAATGCTACACTGACTACACGACGAGTCGTTCGCACGACGATGAAATCACGTACGGAACGGACGTCCGTAGGATTGACGACGCGACCGGTAACGAGACGACGCTGCTTGCCGGAGGTAAGTGCCGTGACGCATCAACTTACTTATCTCTTAATCATAAGTGACGATATCGTGTTTAATTAGCGATCGCAGTCTATCGTCGTATGTTCAATCTTGTAATTTAATCGTGTATTGATATTTGGCGATCATGGAGGGTAGATACTATGTTCATGAATCGATGATTTATGATTACAGTTAAGCAAAATCCTGACAAGCAGCAAGTGAAGCGTCCACGCGACGGTTGTTCCTGGCGAGTGAAGTTGGCCATGTGTTTTACGAAATTCCGTCATGTAAGACTCGCTTGTCGCGTCTACCTGCGGAGCATCAGGGGTCGACGGGATCGTCGAGCGGATCGTACAGACATCTCCGACGTAATCCTTCCATCATCGTGTAATAAAGTACGCGCCGCGTCGCGAAATTAATACCGGGAGTGCCGTGCAAAGTGTCGCGCGATTATAAGCGACGATATCGTCGATTTTCGCTCATGAATGTCGTGAGTGAGTGCGTCGACGGAGATGCGACATCGGTGAAGGACCACGGAGTGGAGGAGCTGGCCTGGGAGGCATCGGGCAACGGCGGAACGACCGTAAGGTGAATAATATTCGTTTATTATTTTGCTGTCCCGTGGCGGATTCCGTCACTTTCTCAAGCGCAACGTGATTTGCTCTTACATTATACTCGAATCATTAATTCATTACTCGTACAATACAAATATCGATTATCTTGGGCACTGCAATGCTTTAATGTAAAAATATTTGTATGTTTCAGATAATTTATCTGATCAACGTAGTATTACAACTCCGCTGTTGCGCATCGGCTGGTGAGTGATTTTTCTATTTTAATGTCAAGGCAACAATCACACATTATATCACAAAGTTACGTTACCTAACTCAACCTAAGTGATATGTATGAATCCAAAAATTCAACCTAAGTGGTAGTAGCTTCAATTTTTTTTTAACAAAATTATTATATCACAAATTTGTGTTACCTAACTTAACCCAAATGACATGTATTTCAAAAAAAGATGTGAAATCTTTAAATTGCGCCAAATACAATATATATATATTGCTTTGAAAAATAATTGTTGTGCAACTATTTTAAAAAAATAAAACCAAAGTGGTACATATCTTTGTGTTCCCATTCAAGGGTCTTCCTATTCCAACCCAAGTGATAGTAGCTTTAATTCTATTTAACAAAATTATAATATTACAAAGAATCATTTTAATCACAAAGAATTAAAGAGGTAACAGTACAAAATAAAAATATTTAATTAAAATAAAATAAATTTTTCTTGTAAAAAACTTGGCGCTGCTAGAATAAAGTACTAAAATTTTTGATTGAATAAAAAAAATCATAATTTAGGGAAGAATGTGACGGGAGTAAAAAAAACAGCGCCAAGTTTTTTTACAAAAAAAAAATTATTTTATTTTAATTAAATATTTTTATTTTGTACTGTTACCTCTTTAATTCTTTGTGATTAAAATGATTATTTATAATATTATAATTTTCTTAAATAGAATTAAAGCTACTATCACTTGGGTTGGAATAGGAAGACCCTTGAATGGGAACACAAAGATATGTACCACTTGGGTTTTATTTTTTTAAAATTGTTGCACAACAATTATCTTTCAAAGCAATATATAACAATGTATAACCTCTTTGTATTTGGCGCAATTTAAAGATTTCACATCTTTTTTTGAAATACATGTCACTTGGATTAAATTAGGTAACACAAATGTGTGATATAATAATTTTGTTAAAGAAAAATTGAAGCTACTACCACTTAGGTTGGATTTTTGAATTAATACATATCACTTAGGTTGAGTTAGGTAATGTAACTTTGTGATATAATTTTGTTAAGTATTACTTATCTCTCGACAAAAGTATGTCCAATTGACTACATTTCTCATTTAATTCTAATTCATTAATCAGACATTTGTGTCGCGGTGGCTGCAGCAATAGAAAATAGACAAACGACAAATTTTAACCAGATCCATGTGTGTTCGTTCAAACCATATTCCGTGGAATGCACTAACTTTGAAATTGCATGTTACACTTTGTTGCTCTCGACTTTTCATAAGTTTATAATATGTTTTTATACAATGAAATAAGCGATTTTTAGAATTATTGATTAACACATTTTGAGATTTTGGACACTTTTGGACATTTTGAACGTTATTTCGCTACGAACGACTTTCTTCTCACACAAAAAATTTTACGAAAAATTAAAATTGTATGTCAAATTGATAAATTCGTGCAAATGCATGTTGAAAATTCAGGAAATTTTTTTTTAAATTATCCAACACTGACACACAGCTATATGACATACTGAGATATTTCTCTTCAGGAATTTATTCAGGTTCAGAGGGGTGGCAGTGTGGTGTTGTGGTAAAGCGCCAGACTCGTAAGGAACTGGGTTCGAGTCCACCTGATTACAAGAATTTTTATATTCCAAACTGCATTCCCCGCACGAGTGGGGCTCATGCGGAGAAACTGGGCTATCTTTCGGAGGAGACATTAAATTTGAAATTGGTTGTCAAGCTTGGGGAGCTTGGGAGTTTTGATAAATTCGGCGATATAAATATTACATTTGAATGTGCTGTTTTCAAAATTCTGAAAACATGATCTAAGAAATAATGTAAATGCTGACGGTCCTAATTTGTGCTCTAAATCTTCAAGGAGCAAATAGCCTATTTCATACGGAACATATTGTGCGCGTGTGTTACGAATATTTCGTCTCTAGTATATACACGTCGATGAGAAAAAATTTACGGTTGGCATTCAACGACGATATTTCTAATTTCTAGATTTTTTTTATTTTTTTTTTCCAGTTTAATTCTTGTGTCTCTTGTCCGAAGGGTTGTCAGCAGCAGCAGCAGCACCAGTCGTACTACTGCTACTAATGTTGTTGCTGCTGCTGCTACTACTGCATTCCACCAATCATTTCATCGAATTTACGTTTGGGAGGGTTTAAAGTGAAAAGTGATTTATTGAAATAATGAATTTCTATACGCGCCTCGATTGTCTCTTTCGTGCATTGGAGGATTTTTTTCGGCCAAAACGTCTGCATTAAGTTGATACATACAATCTTACGTATCCCGGCCGGCACCCTGACTGCGGAGTATTTTACGTCTTGCGTAAAATCCGTCTCTCTCTCCATAGTATGGAGAAGGGTCTCCGGGACTCAATTACGGAAGACCATGTCGTCGAGTATAATTCCGTCCGTGTGTCCCTCTCGAAATCGGGTCCAATCTTCTCTATGTTTCTAGCGTCTTCAAAAGGTATGCGCGGAGGTATAACAAAACTCGTAAAAAAATAAGTTTTGCAAGTATAAGTTAACAAAACTGTCCGGTCGCGTACGCGATGAGATTGAATTCAATTACGGTTGTAGAATGGAGCACTTACTAAATACGTTTGCGCTACTACTTGTGTAATTAATACGATACATTACCTGAGTTACCAAAGTAGAACAGTGACCAACCAATTCAAACCAATACACTTGGGGGTGGCCCCAGGTTTTCAGAAAGCTATTAGCCACAATAATAATTTCTTTAATAATATGGTTAACTTTATTACACTCAGAGAAAAAATCATTACTTTGTACTTGTACTCTTTGTACTTCCACTGCGATAATGCGTTGTTATTGAAAACGCCCTTTACGAAGTCGCGCACCAGTATTTCGGATTTGGAAAGCTTTTGCTGGGATTTGAATTAATGAGGGTAATTAACTTGCAATTGCTTTTATGAAAACAAATAACAAGAATATATATTTGTACACGAAGTACGGGATTACAATGGGTGTGGCCCCGATTGCATCTTACATCCCATAAATTAAAAATTAAATTAAATTAAATTAAATTAAAAAATTAAAGCGGGCTGGGTGGCAGTGTGGTCTTGTGGTAAAGCGCTAGACTTGTAACCCCGAGGAACCAGGTTCGAGTTCACCTGATCACAGGAATTTTTATATTCCAAACTGCACCTCCCGCACGAGTGGGGCTTGTACGGAGAAACTGGGCTATCTTTCGGAGGAGAAATTAAATTTGAAATTGGTCGTCAAGCTTGGGGAGCTTGGGAGTTTTATACTGCTTAAGTATATTGTTAGTCGCAAAGCTTTGGTGCTACAATAGATTGTACAATGAAGCCGATGAAAGTCGTAAAGCTCTGACATCGACAATACAAATAAGGACTAAACTATCTATAGTTTATTACCCTGAGAACGCGAAACCTGTTACACAGATCGCTCTTAAAACGATTGGTTGTTAAAAATTCAGGGGTATAACGAAATGCCACTAAATAATATAAAAGATTACAATTGCTGATATCCGAAGGGATAGATTGTACCGTCCTCGATTTTCTTGTTACATTTCTTGGTAGTCGACACTCTTGTATTATATATATATGAAGTATATATGAGCACTGGGGGGGGGTATAAATATTTTTAATGTTAACACGCTTCTCAGTGTTTAAATTTTTGACATTTTTAGCATGGAATAAAAGCAAAAAGATATCTTAAACAATAAGAGAACGATTTGTAACATATATTTTTCAACTTGATGCATTTATATGTGACGAGTAAGCAATGACGGTGTACAAATATTTATACACTACAAGAGTTCATCATAGAATTTCATAATTTGCCCATAGATGGGTCATCTATATACATATGTATATATACTACAAATCTGCAGTTTCAGATTTTTTGGAATTTTCGATTTTCTGAATTTCTATTGTTAGAAATAGTATCAAAACATCTGCTTCTGATAACTAGAAATTTATAGTATCTACGACTATATTTATGGTAGCATTTGCAATTGCTGACGAGCTATAGCAACTATTGGTCTTATACTACATCAAAAAAACAGTATGGTTGACTCACACATAAATCTGGTTGTGCCAACCAGATTCAATAGTAAAATACGGAACAACCAGTTATGTGTTTGCTGCAGCCACAGTGCGATTGTTGAGTGACTATTGTTGCAGCAGTGACGATACCTGATTACTGCAACCAACCTATTTTCTTGATATTTCTTGATACTTCAACTACAAATATTGTTATGGCAACTACATCATTTGGTTGTCTTAGATAATATGTCTTGATGTAGTATAAAAGTAAATCCCTATCACACCTTAATGGTTATTGTAAATACAAACATAAATTTAGTCGTAGTCACTTTTACCGTTGGTTGGTCCACACAGATTGTATTGATGTAGTATAAGACCAATGGTTGCTATAGCTCGTCAGCCATTGCAAATGCTACCATAAATATAGTTGTAGATACTATAAATTTCTAGTTTTTAGAAGCAGATGTTTTGATATTATTTCTAACAATAGAAATTCAGAAAATCGAAAATTTCAAAAAATCTGAAACTTTGCAGATTTGTAGTACATATACATATGTATATGTATATGTACTACAATTCTGCAAAGTTTCTGATTTTTTGGAATTTTCGACTTTCCGAACTTTCCTTGTGAATAATGAAGTTGTGGAATATATTAACATTTAAAGGTAGAGGAAATACATGTAAAAATAATTTGATTGGATTTTACCATTTTTGGTAAAATATGAACGAATCAGAAA